TGTATATCAATAACAACAAACTTTTTCATGAAAATTTGTGTTAATCTGGTGGTTGCACCTTTTGACCACGCACCCGATCACTATAGGGTCTCTGGTACTATTTTAGACCGTTTTAACTTTTGCCCATTTGTTTTGTTAATTTAACCATTATTATTTATGAATTTAATATTTTAGAAATTTCTCCCACATATATTTGGTTTACTCTCCTTGACCACACAATCATTATCAAATTAGAGTCTTTTCCAGTGTGTGTAAACCTCATCCATACATCTGAGTTTTTTAACTTACAACTTTTTAGAAATTAAACAAGCACATAGAGGATTATATATTCTTTTAAGTGTACTGTGACAATGTAAGTTCATAGTACAATCTTAGAGGGGGTGAATTAGACTTGCTGGATTTTTCTTGGATTTTATACAATTCCTTTTCTTTTCACTTTTTCAAGAAACAAGTGATGTATTGCATTTTGTTTAGAATGATGTTATGCAGAAAATTAAAGTGCAGAAAAGTAAATGAGCACAAAGATATATCCTAGTTTCCCTTTTCAACCAAAGGTACATCTAGTCCCCTCACACCTTGTGAGATATTTTCCAATATGTTAGATCCTTGTACAAGTCTTAAACTAAGACATATTCTATAATATTCTAATACAACAAAGTGTCACATCTCGAAAAATATGATCCTTCACGAGATCGCGGAAAAAATGATTCAAACAGAGTTGCCACCAAAATTTATTTATTTCAATGAAGGAAATGGAAAATATCGATAAAACCCTTAAGAGAAAAAGAAAACGGTCCTCGTAACCAAATTCAGGTTCGGGAGTCGATTACGCAAGGAAAAGATATTAGCACATCTCGCGTCCGTTGTACTCAACGGGAATCCTTTAGTTAAATTTGTGATTGAATGTTAGTTTATGTTAATTGTTTTCTTCGAGTAATAAAAAATAAAAGAGAAAAAGAAAGGGGTCGCAAAAAGGTTTTTTATTAAGGTTTTTTACGAGATTGCAAGTCTCACTCCTACATATTTTCGGGTACAATGAGGAGCTCAACACTTCGTAGTTCAAGGAAAGGCTATAATTTGTTAGTTTTTTTATTAAACAAGTGTGTATATCATACTCTAATGATTTTAAATTGGCTTGTCTACTTGTGGGGGAGGCTTAAGCGCTTGTTTGTATTCGCATTAGAATGGACTAAACAATGTTCTTTTGAAAAAGTTTGATTGCACAGGGGCGAAAAATTAAGTTAATTTGTTGGATGACGATTACTTGGATAGTTAGTAAGGGAACTCGTATCCAAATAATCGAGGAGAGAAGTGGAAGGCTTTAGACCATTTCCCTTTTCATCCTTAATTGTAAAAGGACTTAGATAATGTTAATGTGTTTTGAATAGACGATAAATATTCGAATGGTTGAGTAAGACAACTCGTATCCAAATATTTAGGGAAGAGAATATAAGGCTCTAGACCACTTTTTTTTCCAAGATATTATGAAAATAAGTTTGATTATATATAATTGTGAAAGAGATTGAAGTGAATCAGATTGGAGATTTTTAATGGATGACGATTGCTCGAATGATCGAGTAAGGCAACTCATATCCAAACAATCAATGAGAGGAATCAAAATCTCTAGACCATCTCCTTTTTCACCCTTTGAAATAGTGTTTAAGTATGATTAAGTGTTTTGACTTTAATAGGGAAAAGGCACTCGATGTTGATCGAGGTATTTTTATTTGTATTGAATTAAAATTAGACGAAATGATTTGAGGGTTTGAAAATGATATTGACTTGGGAAAATTACTCGGCATTAGATCGAACGCTTATTTTTGTTCCTTTTGAATTGTTGATTTTATGCTAATCTTGAATGAACAATTAAAAACTGCAATAAGAACAAAATAAAGGAAAGCAGTAAACTTATGTCATAGGAATGGGGTACATTTTGTTGAATGAGAATATAATAAAACGATTAAAATACAAGCCCATTAAACAAGTATAAAATAAAAATGAGTTCGTTGTAAGAAGGTCCAAGAGAAAGCCACGGGACTGAAAACCAAAATTTGGAGTACTGGATTTAGCTCTAAGTTAACCTAATATAAAGTGAATTCATATAAGAATTACTCTATAAGAAGTCGGGAAACCGAATCTATACGTCCAAACATATTCCGAAGAAAAATTAAATTTATCCTCTGAATTTGCAACACAATAAAAGTAAAGACAGCAGCCGTCCAATATTATTTACAATATTACATACAAGCTTTTGATCAAAACAAATAGCTAAAATCTAGCTACAGTTCATAACAACAATGTAACCCAGTGGAATATTAGCCAAAACACATAATAATAGTTGTACCAAAACACAATAAACACAAAACAAAATAGAAACTTATTAAATCAACATAATATCTAAAACTATACTATTTTTAACATAAATAGAAATAACAAAAGATGGTTTTACTGAAAATGTAATAGAGGAAGAAAACATGATTACACAGTATTGTCGGCGTGTTGTGTTGGTCATATAAGACAGAGATTCGGTGGTTACCGGTGGCTTAAGGTTGATAAAAAGTGGTTTCAGAGGTATGTGGATAGTACTTGAAGAAGGAGAGTCACGACATCGTTATGGTGAAGGGTGGCATGCTGTTAAGTTGGTGATGGTAGGGATTGGAAGGAGGGAACTTGAGGTCGGGTTGTCGGATACAGAACAGCGGAGGGAGTGAGTTTATGGTGGAGCTATGGTGTTTGGTCGGTGAGTTACAAGGGTGTCAGTGTATGAAGATAACGATGGAGGTATGGTTGTTATGAGTTTTGATGGAGGTTTAGCGGTTGTTTGAGTGCCTCTTGTTTGTTCAGTGAAATGGAGGGAGGTTCTAAGGACATGAAGAGAGGATTTCTTGTTGGTGGTTTCGTGTCTGTTGAAGGCGGAGCATCACACAGTTTGGGTTGAGGTGAAGAGGTTAGAAAGAATGGGGTTGTTGTTGTTTTTGATATGGATGAAAGGTCTACATGTAACTTGTGGTTGTGAGGGAAAATATGGAGAGGTTGTTATGAGTGTTGGATTGAAGGAGCAAGGTTTTGATGAAAGTGAGAAGCAAGGTTCACCTGTTGGTTTTTTCAAGGAGCCTTTTCATTTTTTATTTATTTCACTCTTATTTCCAACTTAGAGAGGATGAGAGGCAATGTTTGTCTAATGATTTTTGATGGTGAGGTGAGAGATAAAAAATTTGGAAAGGTGGTGACGGATGATGATGATGTTCTTGGAAGTTTTTGTATCCATCACCTGAAGAAGAAGAAGTTCTATTGGCTACTTTCTTTCATTTTATTATTATTTTATATACTCCAGCACACATAAACACCACTGCCACGCAACATCTCAAATAGGTTCTAACTTTTAATCTAGTCGTATTTTATTCATTCTCTGATAAAATCGCTTCCAACGGTTGTTTTTTTTAAGTTGTTTGTTTTATCTATTTTCCTGTTCACAGTATGAAGTTTTTTTTCCAACAATGTTGTTTTTTAAACAGTGATATTATTCAACTGAGCTCATGTTTTAATGTTGTCAGATTTGTAACTTTTGTTGCGGGAAACATATTTCTTTAGATCTGTTTACATGACCTCATGTTTTGTATACCTTGCAAGTCGATAGTTTTTGCTCTGTCTTTGGTTTTGTAGGTAAATGGCATGTTTTTGATGTACATGTTACTTTGTACAGAAGTTTTGGTTGTCATAATGGTTTTACTTTTATGTTCATTATAATATGATGAGTTTTCTAATATTACAATGGTGTTTTTTAACAATCATATCTTTCGCATATATGATTATATTACATATTCACAATTATAACACTAAATATGGACATACAATCCTTCTATGTGACTTTAGTGTGTCATGGACTGCCAAACATGTATCTTTCACAATGAACTAACTACACTAAACTAACTAAACTTGATAATTTTATACTAACTAACTGTTAGGATAAGAGTCACATTAATAAAATAATATTTATGAAGAGTTTGTTATTCTAAGGGTCTGCATTGAAAATATTATTAACTATTAGTTCACAATTTGGTCCTCATGGATTGCTAAAATATCACAACATAGATAGTTTTTCATTTGGTTTTTCAAGTCACAATGCATTATCACTAAAACATCTTAATTCGTTCATTTATGCCCTCAACAATGCGTATATTTAACTTTCAAGCTGGATTACCTGCAAATTTCATCTTGATTTATTAAGGTGAGTTAAGCATGGTGTAAAATGCAACAGACATAATGCTTTGGAGACATAAAAGCCCCAATATTATTGAGTTGTATTTATTTGTGTGTTATATTTCAACTGTTCACATACATAACTTTGATAAAATTTGTTGTTGTTTGGATCCAACTTGAGATAATAGTATAAAAACACATGTTTTAGATACTTATTGACATAGCTATATTTGGGTATACATTATGCAAACTATCCTTAGCCATTTGGATTATTACAACATGTTATTTTTATAATCGATGCAACAATCTTCATTTTGTGTTTTGAATGCAAACACTGATGTAGAAATGTATGCAAACTAGGGCAATTGTGTTTTCCTAATATTTCCACAACATTTAATAGGGATGGCATTCATATTCAACTCTTTAAGTAAGGCTAAATACTATTTTTAATCCCTTAACTATACTTTTAGGTTCAGATTGGTTCCTTAATTATTTTTTGTGTCAGATTGGTCTCTTGACTCTTTAAAAGGTGTTATATTAATCTTTTTCGTATAATTAGCGAAAAAAATTTTAAAATTATATCGCTAATTAGACAAAAAGTACCGTGTTAATTTTTTTTAATAAATCATCAAACAAAATTGAAGTGCCTATGGTTTTATTTTTTATTCAAAACAAATCAAAACCTAGCAGCAAATAACCTTCCAATACTGCCCCTAAGACTTGTATATATTTAACCCCTTTCTCAAAATATAATGTAACAATTTCCACTTCTATCTGTGTGTGCATACTAAACTAGAGCTATGGAACGAACATCTCTGATTGTGCCCTCTGTCCAGGAAATAGCACAGCAACGATTAACAACTGTTCCAGATCGTTATATTCGTCCACATCACGACCGTCCAATAATATCTACAATTACGCCTTTACCCCAAGTTCCTATCATTGACCTTACCAAACTATTGTCCCAAGATCTCAATTTTAAGCAACCTGAGCTTCATAATCTACACTCAGCTTGCAAAGAATGGGGTTTCTTTCAGGTTAGAGACAAACTTAATCAATTATTATTCATTTTGTTTTACTAATAGTTATGGTTTTGATTTATAGCTGATTAATCATGGAGTGAGTAGTTCTTTGATGGAAAATGTGAAGAATGGTGCTAAGGAATTTTACAATCTTCCATATGAAGAGAAAAGAAAATTTGGTCAGAAAGAAGGAGAAGTGGAGGGATATGGTCAAGCTTTTGTAATTTCTGAGGAACAGAAATTGGATTGGGCAGACATGTTTTTTATGGTTACTTTGCCACCACAGTTGAGGAAACCACATTTATTCCCTAAACTGCCCTTACCATTCAGGTTCTCTTTCTCTACTGCTTTAATTTATTTTGTTTTATTTTCAATGCTTTTGTCTATTAGAATTTTGATTAATCTGCAATGCAATCAAAGAAGGAAAGAAGTTTATATTTTAAATATTAAACATTTTGGTCTCCGGCCCAAAACAAAACAAATAGGGACATTGACATATTCACCAGAACATTAACAAAGTGACAATAGAGAACAAGCAACAAATGAAAGTGGCCTCGAAACAACATATTACTGAATAAACAAAACCACCAACTGAATAAACAAAAAATTGTTTTAAAACATAGAGTTTATCTTCACGGAAATCAAGGACTATTTGGTATGGGTATTACTATTTTTAATTAAAATGTAGGAGTATTAAAAAATTAAAGATAGAAAATGATGTGACATCTAATAATTAATTGTCATCAGTATAAAAAACAAAACTTTAAAAGCAGGCGATGATTACAAGTTGTGCAACATTTAAATTTGTAAGATTATTTTTAATGATGATATTTAAATGAGTTTCGTAAAATAATTCTATTCCTTTCTTTTTTTTTTAATAAAAAAAGAACTCATTAAAATTGATTAAAAGTTTTAACTCGATATTCTGTCGAAAATTAGCATTTTACTATATTGAAGTAGTTAGTCAAAAATATAGGAGTCAGTTGTATTTGATTGTATCTAATATATCATTTAAGTCGTTGTGTTGAAGTCAAAATATAATTTGTATATTTTTTATTTGAGTTGATTTGTATAGTTTTGGGTTTGAGTTTTTGTTGCTTATATAAAGACATTATATAATGTAATTCCTAACAACTTCATTCAATTAGGATTTTTTGCTTTTCACAAATTCAGTTTATAGTTTTTCTCTCCCTTTCTCTCTTCTTCTTCCTCTTTCATCTTTCTTAAAAACTCTTTTGTTCCAACAAATTGGTATCAAAGAGCCCATGTTGTGATTCAGAGAAAATCTCTAATGGCAAACGGAACAACAACATCAACGTAATTTCCAGTGAATCTATCGATTTTCAAAGGTAAGAACTACGAACGATGGGTTGCGCAAATGAAAGTCATCTTCAAATTTTAAGATGTGTCTGAAATGTGAATGATAGAGCACCTGCATTGGAAGAAAATGCAGATGATGTTCAGATTGTGCACACGGATCAAAGGAAGAAAGATGGAAAAACTTTATTCTTGATCCATCAATGTGGGGATCCTAATGTGATCGAGAAGATAATTGAAGAAAAAAATAGCAAAAAGAGTGTAAGACAAGTTGAAGAACTTGTACGTCAGAGATAAAAAAAACTGAAAATAGTGAAGTTGTGCACGTTGAGAAAGCAATTTGAGACGACTCAGATGAAGAAAGATGAATCAGTCTCGGAATACCTTTCATGTGCAGTGTTGTTAATAAACCTGATGGAGGCGTGTGGTTAATCAATCAACGATTTGCAGAAGATTGAGAAAGTTGAGATCTCTGACTGCGAATTTTAATTACATTGTAGTGTCAATTGAAGAGTCTAAGAACCTAGCTCAAATGAAGTTAGAAGAACTTCAAGTTTCATCAAAGGCTCATGAGATGAGGCTGAAGTAAAGGAACTCAGAAAGGGATAAAGTGGCTGAACAAACACTACAAGCAAGATTCATTAAGAAATCTGGGAAAGAGAAGGTGAAGCATGGAAAGAATATTGCTAAAGATAAGAAGTCAAGCAAGAACTCAAAGAATCACTCTGATTCGATAAAGAAAGGCATGAGCAACAAGTATTATGGGAAGAAAGTTGACATGAAGGAAGTGCAGTGTTTCAACTGTCAAGGATTTGTCCACTATGCTCGAGATTGTCAAAGAAAGAATGAAGCACGAGCAAAAGATAGAGATGAAGTGCAGTATGCACATGTTGAAGATAATGATTCTAATGATGTGTTACTCATGGTCAACACTCATTTGAACACTGAGCAAACTAACATGTGGTACCTAGATTTAGGATGTAGTAATCACATGACTGGTAATAAAAAATGGTTCACCAAGTTAGATGAATCAATTGAGAAAGTGATAAAGTTTATAGATGGCAGACACGTCACATCAGGTGGAAAATGAGATATATATGTTGTCAGAAAGGATGGTCGAAAAGTCAGCATAACTGATGTGTTGATTGTACCTTCGATGACAAGTAACTTGATAAGCGTAGGTCAATTACTCACAAAAAGGGTACAACATGAAGCTAGAAAAGAATCATATGAAGGTGTATCAAGGTGATGAAGGTTTATTCTGAAGGAACCATTGGCAGACAACAGGACCTTCAAGGTAGAGATCAACCGGGTTGATCACAAGTGTCTTGCTTCGACTGCAGAAGAAGAAAGAACCGGTTATGGCATCACATGTATGGACATCTAAACTTTAGAAGTTTAGGTACGCTCAACCAGAAGAAAATGATTTGTGTCTTACCTCATGTGTAGGCACCAAGGCAGGTATGTGAGAAATGTTGCAAATCAAAGCAGACTAGGAAAGCATTCAAACATGACTTACCCATGAGGTCGAAGGAAAAGTTGGAGCTAGTTCACTCTAATGTATGTGGACCATTTGAAGTAAGGACGAGTAGAGGTAACTGATATTTCCTAACTTTTATAGATGAATTCACTATATATATGCGGATTAACCTTATTGAAAGGAATAGTGAGATATTCACATAATTCAAGAAGTTTAAATTGCATGTCGAGAAACATAGTGGATGCAGTTAAAGAAACTAAGAACTTATGATGGAGGTGAATACAACTCTCAAGAATTTGCTAGATTTTGCAATGAGGAAGGTATAGAGTATGAGGTCATTGCATCCTATACACCTCAACATAATGGCATAGCTGAGAGGAAGAATATTGAACATGACTAGGAGCATGTTGAAAGCTAAATATATGCTAAAGAGATTGTGGGGTGAAGCATCTTCGATAGCAGTATACATTCTAAACAGATGTCCAACCTAGAATATAAACGAGAGGATTCCTTATGAGGCTTGGACAGGTGTGAAGTCAAATGTTAGTCATCTTAAAGTGTTTGGATCAATGTGCTTCAGGCATGTACTTGAACAATTGAAGAGGAAGTTAGATGATCGAAGTCAAGTTATGGTGCTCATATGTTATCATTCAACTGGTGCATACACGTTGTATTCACCAAATGATGATAAACTTGTGATCAGTCGAGATATTCTAGTAGATGAAAGAAAAAGATGGGATGAGAGTCATGGGTCAATTCGATAGGAATCAGATACAGTTACAACTCTATTTGAAGAAGACCAACAAACTGAAGTCCCAACCAATCAAAATGAAGATCCACTTTAGCAGAATGTTAGAAGATCGACTAGAGCAAGAACTGAGTCGACAAAACTAGTTGGATATGAGAGATTTCTAGATCAAGCAGTCGATACAGATGGTTACTTAATAGAAGAAGTGACTATGATAGTTGAACCAAAACCAATCAATTTGGATCAGGCCACGAATTATTCGTATTGGTTAGCAGCGTTGAAAGAAGAACTTAGGAAAATCGAGAAGAACAAGACTCAAGAGCTTGTCGAATAGTCAATCAAGAAGCCAATTGATGTGAAGTGGGTTTATAGGCTCAAACGAAGGCCAAACGGTGAAATTTTCGAACACAAGGCAAAAACATGAGTATTTTTTGCGAAAACCTAGTATTGATTTCGACGAAGTATACGCACCTGTTGCAAGGCTAGAGACAATTAAAATTGTTGTATCGACAATCATACAAAGGGTGGAAGATACATCAGTTAGATGTAAAAACATCGTTTTTGGATGGACCTTTGGAAGAAGAAGTATATGTCATTCAACCATTGGGATTCGAAAACAAAGGGCAGGATTCAAAGATATATACATTAAGGAAGGCTCTCTATTGAAGCAGGCCCTAAGCGTTTGGAATAAGAGAATAGATAACTTCCTAATCGAGGTAGGTTTTAAAAAGCGTGTCTCTAAACATGGATTGTATGTCAATGATGTAGACAGGTTCAGTCAAATCATCGCATGCCTGTACGTAGATGACTTGTTTATTACATGTGCAGATGAAACAGAGATAAGAAAAGTCAAGTTAAAGCTAATGCAAGAGTTTGAAAAGTCCGACTTAGGGAATTTGTCATATTTCTTAGGGATGGAGTTCAAAGACACAGTTGAAGGAGTGTTCTTGCACCAAAAGAAGTATGCCCAAGATATCTTGAAGAGGTTCAAGATGAGCAACTCTAATGCAGCTGCTATTTCATTAGAAATTGGAGCAAAGTTGAGAAAAGTGAAAAATGGTGAGTTTGTAATTGTGAAACTGTACAAACAATTCATTGGATCCTTGAGTTATCTTTGTAATATCAGGCCAGATATTTATAAAAGTGTCAAACTGTTGAGTAAATTCATAGAGAACCCCCTAAGAATGTCATCTCACTGCAGTTAAAAGGGTGTTGAGATACATAAAAGGTGTGATTGATTATGGTGTTCTGATGCAAAAGCAGAAGAAGAAAAACATAGATGCAGAGGTATATGACTACATTGATTCAGATTTTAGTGGAGGCCAAAAAGAGAAGAAGAGTATGGATGGATACATATTTATGATCGAAGGCGCTCCAATCTCTTGGAGCTCAAGAAAGCAAAGCATTGCGACTTTGTCATCATGTGAAGAGTATGTGGTCGCATCATATACAATATGCCAAGCAACATGGATAGAGATGTTGCTCGAAGAACTCAAATTAATGGAACCTAAGAAAATAAAGTTCTTTGTCGACAACTAGTCAGCTACTGACGTGGCGAATCATCCAGTGTGTCATGGTCGAAGTAAGCACCTTGAAAGGAGGTATCATTTTCTGAAGGATCAAGTTAACAAAGAAAATGTTGAACTTGAGCATTGTAAGGCATAATGGCAACTAGCCAACATACTAACCAACCCCCTGAAGAAAGTCAAGTTCAACGAGTTGAAGAAAATCATCGGGATGAGAAATCTCGAGAACATGAATTAGGGGGTGTTAGAAGTTGTCATTCGATGTTCTGTCGAAAGCTAGCTTTTGACTATGTTGAAGTAGCTAGTCAAAGGTGTAGGAGTCAGTTATATTCGACTGTGTCAGATACAACAATTAAGTTGTTATGTTGAAGCCAAAAATAACTTGTATATTTGGGCTTGGGTCGATTTATATAGTTTTAGACATATGGTCTTTAATTGCCTATATAAAGACATTATATGATGTGAATCCTAACAACGTCATTCAATAAAAAAATTTCGTTTTTCACAAATTCAATTTATAGTTTTTCTCTTCTTTTTTTTTTGTCTTCTTCTCGCATCTTTTTTGAAAATCCTTTTATTCCAACATTATTGAATTAAGTAATATGAAATTATAAATAAAATAAAACAAGATATAATACAATTATTAAAAATCTTATTTTTTTAATTAATAAAACAAAATATATATAAATTATAAATATGATGTAGCCTTGTAAGAATAGTTTAGGAGGGTAATAGATATACACTTACAATTTAAAATAATTTTATACTATCATTTAATAAAAAATAAATAATTATTTAATTATTAAAATACTTTTAAAATTATAAACCGTTCATTGATTGTTACTTTAAATTTTTTTACATCTACCGTGTATATATATTTTTCTCATAGTTTATTAACTGTTTGCAAATTTCAAAAGATTTTCAAAAAAGACTATCGGAAAGGTATAAATACATATTACAATTTTTCTCTTTCTTTCTCAATATACTACAAATATATTGTTTAACCAAACAAAACAAATTATTTACTTAATTTAAAAAAGAATCATATTAATTAAATTTTGGTGTGGAGTAACGCAGAGATCATTTAGAGACCTATGCTACAGAGTTGAAAAACCTTGCCATGCAAGTCATTGACTTTATGGCAAATGCTCTAAAAGTGGAGCCAAAGGAAATTAGAGAATTATTTGGTGAATCAGCTCATCAATCAACAAGGATTAATTATTATCCACCATGTCCCCAACCAGAGCTTGTTACAGGACTCAGTTCACATTCTGATGGTGGTGGCCTCACAATCCTTCTCCAAGGCAATGATGTGGAAGGTCTTCAAATTAAAAAAGATGGATTATGGATTCCTGTTAAGCCTCTCCCTAATGCTTTCATCATCAACCTTGGAGACATGTTGGAGGTAAATTATTAATTTTATCTTTACTATTATATTGTCAACTTAATTATTGTTTTTTATTTATTAATGGTGGTTATTTGGTAGATGATAACAAATGGAATTTATGGAAGCATTGACCACCGAGCAACGGTGAACTCGAAAATGGAAAGATTTTCTATAGCTACATTTTATAGTCCTAGTATGGAAGGGATGGTATATCCAGCGCCAACTCTTGTTACTCCAAACACACCGGCAGTATTTAAAACGATTAGTGTAAAAGATTTTTACATAGGATACCTTGGAAGAGAGCTACGTGGAAAATCATTCCTTGATAGTTTGAGGATCCAAAATGAAGATGTTAAATGATATCAACTATGAAAGCTGAAGAATTATATAAGTTTGAGATCATAAATATTAGCATATGTATACACAAAACTTAGGGACTTCATTTTCCCCTAATGTTGAAGCATATATGTTTTTGCATAGCTTCTGTTCTTGTCTTTAGTGTCTGTTTTGTAAGAGAATAAATGTATATTTGTATCCACAACTAGTTCATTGGTGCGATAAAAGTCTTGCATCATACGCAAGTTTGTTTGAACTAATGAATCAACTAATAAATTTTACTATTAAATCACAAGGAGATATGGCGAGACTTGTAAATTTAAAAATACTTATATGTATAGTACAAAACTATTTTAGTTGTTAGGGGGGCCGTTAATTATTGTTTTTCTGCAATGGTCTGAGGTTCTAATGCGGTGTAAAGAGGATTGACTTACAAAGTTATCACTCCAGCATTTAAGTTAATAAGAGAATGAGGAATAATGTATGTGAGATATTGGATCGAACTCTAATTAACATGTCGTCGAAATTTATTCACATGTTGTTGTCGAAGACCTATACGCTATAGTCAAATTGTGTTCTAGTATGTAGTTGTCGAATTGAGCCTTGTGTTAAGGATTCAATTGTTTAAGTTAACTTGTAATGGATAATTGTTAAAGACCCGTTAGTTTAATATGTTAGGTTTTATTATAAATAACATACTTGGCTCTCATCTGTGGTGTGACAAAATCTATTTAGGGTGAGAGAGTTATTTGTTATTCTTGAGTACTTGTAATATGTTTTATAGAGAAAGTAAAGAATAACAGTTATAACCAATCATTGTTGTTCTCCTTGTTTTTTCTTAACCCTAACCCTTGTGTGTTTCTTGATCATAAAGTAACCGAGTATATTTTGTTTTAAGGCATCCTAATTCACAAAAAATTGGTGCGGTGAGTATGGATAAGATGCCTTCAACGAAAAATGAGATTGACAAGTTCACCGAGTGAACGACTTCGGTCTGTGGCGCTTGAAGATGAAAGTCCTACTGGTTCAGCAGAGTTGTTTGGAGGCGTTGAAGGGAGAGGCAGTCATGGACGTTGCGTTAACAGAAAAGAAAAGAAGGTCATGATAAAGAAAGCCCATAACGTAATATTGTTGAGCCTTGGTGATAAGGTTCTTCGCAGGTATCAAAGGAGACTACGGCATCAAGGTCATGGTTGAAACTTGAAAGTTTGTACATGACCAAATCTTTGGTGAATCGACTCTACCTGAAGCAAGTTTTGTATTCATTCAAGATGAGTGAAGACAAAGTGTTGGCTGAGCAGTTGGATATGTTCAACAAGCTGATTCTTGATCTTGAAAATACTGATGTGAAGATCGATGATGAAAATCAAGCACTCTTGTTGTCGTGTGCTTTGCCTCGAACACATACTCACTTCAAAGAAACTCTCATGTATGGAAGGGAGTCTCTGAGCTTTGAAGAAGTTCAATTAGCCTTGTATTCTAAGGACTTAAACGAACGAAATGAGCATAAACCTTCGACGATGGGCGAAGGTTTGGCCGTTAAGGGAAAATTCTTGCGATAGGATGGTAAGTTCAACAAGAAGAAAGATAAAAGTCAGCAGAAGTCTTGTCGAAGCATCAGGTATTCGATGTTATCACTGTAAGAAAGAGGGTGACACAAGAAAAGTGTGTCCTTATGGGCCTTGTGTTAAGGATCCAATTGTTTAAGATAGCTTGTACCCTACCGTCGAAGTTTACTCACATGCTATTGTCGAAGACCTACATGCTGTAGTCGAATTGTGTTCTAATATGTAGTTTTCGAATTAGGCCGTGTTTTAAGGATCCAATTGTTTAAAATAGCTTGTACCCTAAGTTAACTTGTAATGGGTATTTGTTAAAGGCCCATTAGTTTAGTATGTTATGTTATATTATAAATAGCATATTAATCTCTCATATGTGGTGTGACAAAATTTAATTAGGGTGAGAGGATTATTTGTTATTCTTGAGTACTTGTAATCTGTTTTATAGAGAAAGTAAATAATAGCAGTTATAACCAATCATTGTTGTTCTCCTTGTTTCTCCTTAATTCTAACCTTTGTGTGTTTCTTAATCATAAAGAAATTGAGTATGTTTTATTTTAAAGCACCCTAATTCACAACAATGTAAAAGTAAGAGTGATTTGAAATCATACATGTCCCTTTTGACTAATTTCAAATTGATTTTTCCATTCACATGACTAAGAGTCCCAATACAATGGTGCCACAACTGATATCTCCTTATGAGTCACAATCTCATTTACTGTTTTCATCTGCATCACAATCCTTAAGGAACAACATCCTCTATAGATAAAAAGAAAAAAGGTATATAAAGGGGAGAAGTAAATATCTGCTATAAGGCGCAATACGGTGGATTTGTTGTTAGAAATGAGATTCTAGAAGAAACACTAATGGGTGAAGCAAGTGCATACACAGAGCGATAAAGATGAGTTAACTTTGTCTAAGAATTTATTAGAACCAAGAATTTATTAGAACAAAGTTAACTCAACACATGTGTTCATCAATTCCTCAACACATGACTTGAGGAATAGTATGTTTAATATTATTACCATGAACAGTTCATTATTTACTTTCCATCTCAGTTCCCTTATTGCTCTTGTAATCTCCCTTCTCTGTGATCTTCATTTCATCTAGATACGATTTTCCACGGAGCTCTTGTGAAAAATACCCATTGGAATGGTCTACACCACTAATTCTCCTAAACTGTACAGGTCTTTCTGGAGTAACAAGACTTGGTGCTGGAGCTAAAGTTGCTTGCATATTAGGACCATAAAAAGTACCGAGGGAAATCCTCTCTTTCTCTGAATTAACCAGTGCTCGATGTTCAATACTTTGGTATATCCCATTTGTTATAATCTGCAAATTCTACCATTTTGGTTAAATTTTACTACAATGAAACTAAGACAGAAACTTTGTGAAGGGTTATAGTAACATACCTCTAATATTATTAAATCAGATATTTTATAATAATATTATACCAATATTATTAAATCAAACCTGAAAGAAACCCCATTCTTTTCCGGCATAGTGTAGATTCTCTAGCTCATGTTCCTTGAGATTGATATCTAGGGACAATAATTTGGCAAGGTCAATAACTGGAACTTGGGATAGAGAGGTAGTGTTGGATAATATGTCTTGAGGTGGAAGAACATATTCATCTGGAACTTCGATCAATTCCTGCTTTGCTAGCTCTTGAACAGATGGCACTATAATAGATTTGATTTCCATACTATACTAGTTTAATCTGAATATACATGTCCGGCCTAGTAAGGATTTTACAATACTATTGGTAGCGGAACCGACTCATAGGTTGTTTATAAGGTTCCACTAATGTCCAATATGTCAGGTTTCGTTTTGCTATCCTTTTTAATGATATAAAATTGATTACTCTTATGACTTTTAATTGATTAAATATCCTAAATAGGAAAGGGTTTTGAATCCTCCGTCAAAAATCCTCCTTAAAAGGAGGCGTAACAAAATATTTAATTGAATCCTCCGTCACGAATCCTCCTTAAGGCGTAACAAAATATTTAATTAATTAGATAATTGATTAATTGGTATAAATTTCACTCTGAATTATTTAAATAATTCAATAATTACTTAGGTATGCGTAGAAAAAAAAATTTAGGGAGGGAGAGAGAGATGTCTTAGTATCTCGAGGGTTACTCTTATACTTTATATTTAATTGATCACAGAGACACAAGATCAGGAGAGCTTTTACATTTATCTCTTTCACAACTTTTAAGCTTCAAGTTCCTATGCTTGAATCACGATTAATTTGACATTTCATCTGAAAGTTAATTCTTCTACTAATGAAGCCTTTATATAGCTTCTTTGATAGACACCATCGTTAGAGGTTGTATGTTCATATATTATCAAGGGATTCACATAAATTTGTTTGACATTGAATGTTGTCATCATCAAAACAACTAAGGTTGTTTGCAACCAATTGTCTGTGCCAGCACGTAGAACCACATTGTTAAAATATAAAAAGAAATAATTGTCCGTAGAAGCGCATGATCGATGCAAATCTAAACATTCATCTTTGTCAAAATTCACCTATCGCAATGGATTTTGCAAAATACAAGGCAGGAAGGACCAAAGTCTTATACCTCTTTTCATAATAGATATTTCCATCCAACATTCCACCATCGATGGTGATTTTCTCTTTCAAAACCTTCCATAACTTTCTTATCTAGAAACCCCAGTAACACACACAAATATAAAAGGAAAAAAATGTTTTTGAAGTTTTATCTTATTGAAAATAAACTCATATACTCGTGTGTGTCATACCTCAAAATTTATCCTATCTCATTTCATTTTCATCTGGTTTATAGCTCTGTTCACTTGCATACACTTGCTTGTTTGATCATATATTTATAAGTCATTCGTCTGTATTTGCATATTGTGACATTATCAGATCAAAGGTTCATTAACATTTGATTTAACTGGCTAACTTTGAATTCTCAGTATATGGACTTTTGCTTCATGATCAAATTATTTTTGAATCAAGTGTACAGTTTTTTAAGGAACAAATTATCTTGAACGTCTAATTGTTCTACATGGAGACTAGGGTTTTGCTCTTTATGTCAAGGTTACTTGTGATTCAAGTCATTAATGATCTGGAAAAGGTAAAGAGACGAGACAAAAAACTTTGATTTTAAAAAGAAGAATTTCATTAATGCAAGAGTATTACAAAAGGTCTCGTTACAAAGTGCATTCAACTTACATTACATTTAAGTGCAAGGGCATACATACAGTCTGAGACCAATAAAAAAAATTACAATACCATTATAAAAAAGATCACATGAAGAAAATTACAAAAATGTTTTAGTTGACTTTTGGTCAACATATTGACCGTTGACCGGGAACCATTGACTACTTGAACCAAAATTTGTCTGGATCCTGCCTCATCCCACTTCAAGGCTAATGCATTCACAACCTTTTCAAAGGACTCCACGAGCATGTGACTCATCAACTTCATCCAAT